CCATGCCCGGGGTGTACTTGAAGGGGACGCCTTGTTTGAGAAGAGAGTTGAGAGACCGCACCTTGGTGGCGAGATTCTTGAGGAATTTCCGGTGGTAGCTGAGTCCACCGAGAAGGCCCCGAAGCTGCTTGACATTCGTCGGCGGCGGCATGTGCGTGAGCGCCCTAACCTTGACGCCATCAGGGCTAACACCTGCCGGAGAGATGGCGTGACCGAGAAAGTTGGCGTGCGTGGCGCCGACGCGACCCTTCCCTGGAGACAGTTTGAGGTTGTACTGTCGCAGTCGTTTGAAGAACTCGATCAAGTTCAGCACGTGTCCCAGAGGTTCCTCATCGAAACAGATGACATCGTCCAGATAAGCCAGCACACGCTCCAGACCGTGTACCACTCTGTTGATGACCTTGACGAACCAAGACGGACTTGCGTTGGCGCCCTGCGGCAATCGAAGCCATTCGAACAACTGCGTGGGAGTGCAAAAGGCGTTGAGCGGGACAGTGTCTTCATCACAGACGATTTTGTGGGAAGCCGAGTTGAGGTCGACGATGGAGAACACTTTCCCGGTGTACAGAAAATCCAAGATACCATCCACTCGAGGGAGAGGTTGTCCATCCAAATCCACCAGAGCGTTGACACGTTTGTAATTGACGGTGATGCGAACAGATCTGTCCTTCTTGGGGATGACAACTAAAGGAGAAGTCCACGGAGATGTGGAATGTTGAATGAGCCCTGCCGCCAAATACTGGTCCAAAACAGCATCCACTTTCTTTTCCATCAACGGGTTGATACGATACGGGCGTGATGCAACGGGCTTCGTCCCTGCTGGGACAGAAAGCGTGAACGGCATTAGACTATGGTGCAGGAACCAAAATCGGTTTTCGAAGTAGAGAACACGTCAGAATATTCCACAAGGGCGTCGGCCAAACGATCAATAGCCTCCGGTGTCCATCCCGGATTGTGTAGATCGAAAGCGATGTCGTGCATATGTGCGGGCAGCCTAGCCCACAAGCGCATGAAGCTGGAGCGCTGTGCCTCAGAGATGCGGTCAAGTAGTTCTTGTGGAGGCGGCTTCGGAGGAGGCGGGGCGGAGGCTGGGTCCGGAGCACGGTGAGTCCCGGACTTGGGGCCAACGGCGTTGACCCGAGGTGGTGACGTAGATGTTGTGGGGCCGGAAGGAATCGATGATGGTGCCGCCTTCAGGGTTTCCACCGGTACTCGTAGTAGCGGCGCGGTAGACACTCCAATTACGTCTCCCGGCTCGAGCTCGGCACAACCTGCAAGGGGAATACGCTGGAGACCATTGGAAACGAACGCATCTGGGGACGAAAGCGCACCCACTTCGGGTTCGAACGATACCAGATACTCTACAATCAGCGCAGGCAGGCCAGAAGAACGAACGAGGTCCACCTCAACGAGTGCAGGCTCCGGCCCCAAGGAAATTCCCGAGCCCCCTGCATATCAAAGGTGAAACGAGGAGGTAGGAGCGTCGTCGTGTGTAGCGTAAACGCAAGCGCCAGCTGTAAAACGCGGAGAGAGCGTGAGCTCGCGCATAACCCGTCCGTCCGGTCCAGGGTGGGGGAGGGTGGTGAACACGCGAGAGTTGAAGCGCATCCAGCTATCACGACCCAGAAGCACGGCGTGCCCCATGGCGGCGTCTGGAACAACACAGGCCCAGACCGCCAAGGAAGCGGTAGCTCTATCTCCATGGAGAAAATTAACGGTGAGACGAATCGACCGGGTGGTCACAAGGGCGGGTCCATCACCAAACCCACCCCAACGACGAGAGGGCGAAACACGAACGCTGCCAGCTGTCAGGGCTCCGGCAGCTATCATGGCGGTGACCACGGAGTCGGAAACGAAGGATGCAGGAGACCCAGAGTCCAGAAGTGCCACTCGCGCAAGTTGAGAAGTGGCTGTAGGTCCTCCATGTAGCAGGGCCCGGGTGGTGTATGAGTCCGAGTCCAACAGGAGCGTGCCGCCGACCAGATCGGGTCCATGTTCGAGAAGAGGAGGCTGGTCTGCACAAGCGGAGGTCGATGCCACCAGATGAACGCCAGGAGCATGGTCCCCCGGAGCGTCCAAACGTAGACAAGCTGGGTCTTCGCCCGGGTCCTTCCGTAGCGAAGAACCTGTAGCAGTAGCAACCTCATGAATGCGTCGATGTCCATGGAGAGGAGGCTGCGAAATGAGGGGCGTGGGAGAATCGGAAGCGGGCAAATCTTCGCCAGAGAGGGGATGATCACGCAATAGGCGTCGAACTTCCATCAAAGCTTTTCCCAACAAGTTTTTACCGCTAGCCGCCCACTTGGATGAATCGCTAGCATCTGGAAAGCATGCAGACATGCCGATACCCCAAACACGATCGAAGGGGCTGGCTTCTGCAAGGAGGCGGGTACCCGTCTCCAGTAGATGATGTTTCATGTCATGGTTTTGAGCAAATTTGGCGTACGACCCCGTAAGCACGATCTCTTCACGACGACGCTCCCATTCAGCATGGTCGAAACGACGCACATTTCGACCCAAAAACTTGTGTGTCTTAGGATCTGTGGCAGCCATAATTTTGCCATACGACGTCATATCTCCAAATGAGTTCGCTTTTTCAGACATCATGAATTGCTCACCACATGAATAACGTACCCCCAGTACGTCAAAAGCCGAAGGAGTCTATTGCGAGAACACAGACGGAGGTTTCCAGAAAAGAAGGACGTCATCCGAAGCGTACTCGCACTTGTCATCAAACGGCGGAGCCGGTGCAGGGCGAAGGGGCAAAGAGCGGGCACCAGGCACAGGCGGAGGTGGACCAGGCGGACGGGTCCTCTTCTCCGACGGGGAGGACCCAGAAAGCGAGGCAGGAGCGGGCGAAGTCGCAACGCTCCGTGATCCGGAGGGCGGCCTTAGGGCGGCGGCTCCGGCGGGGTCAATGTTAGCAGAGGCCATTCGGCTATTAGAGACCCGTTCGTTAGGAGAAGTCATTCCTGCAACAGACGGATGTTTGATCATTGACGCAGGGCGCTCTTGACTACTCCCCCTTGACAAAGGAGCCGAACCTTCCACAGAATGGTGGGCACTACCATTCGATCCCGATGGCAGTGTTGTAGTCAGCACGTGGTGGGCAGCAGAGGAAGACGCATTCGCATCAGGTGCTGTCACACGGGGGCAGCGGACGGTCGAAGACAACGAAAGCTGCGAAAGAGAAGGAGGATCGACGGGGTTCCCGACGAGTGTAGAAGAAGGCTCGTGTGCGATCCGAGAAGAGGCCCGGCTGACAACACCAGGAGAGTCTTGACGAATAGTAGAAGACGAGGTCCTTGTTCCTTCTGTAACCCGAGACGACGAGGTGAGCAGGGATATTCCGCTCGACGTCTTACCTCCCTGTCGCCCACACCACAAAGGTACTGTCGAAATGGGCCTGTCATGTCCATTACCAGCAGGCGATGAGGCGGACGACGAGGAGGCGGGCCGAGAAACTAGATGTGATTTAGGAGCGTGGGGAGTATCCAAAGAAATAGGCTGTACACGAACATCTTGGGAGACTCCAAAAGGGTGCACGGTGGTTGCTGTTGACGGTAGTACCGGCTGAACTCCGCCATCGGCCTGTCATTTCTTACCCCTCCAGCCCCTTTTTGTCGAAGTGGAAGCGTCCGACGAGTGCTCTGTGTGTGAGGACTGTTTCTACTGTTTCGTGTCCGATATGTCAGATGAGCGGCGGGCGCGTCCGAAGGGGTGATTGCAATGTGGGTTGCGTCCTGTAGGGCGTCTATACGAGGTCATGCGCTTTTTCCACCGACCCCAAAGGGTGGGATCTTTTTCCATACAAAACTTGATGTCATTGTTAAGCAAGCCGGTAGCGTTCACGAAACCACGATTACAGGATTTGAAGGGGTGGTATTCTCCTAAGCAGTTGAGGCACTTGCCCTTGTACAGTCGAAGCGCGTTGCGGCGCTCTTCAGCCGAGACCAAGGGGGTGAACAATGGCGGATCGTTCTTGGTTAACGCCATCTCACTAGCGACGTTGTACACCTCTTGGAAGTGTCCTTGCAACGGCCAGTCGCTGTAGTGCAACAGAAAAGGGTCCCGATCATCATTAGGTAGAGGGTCAACACTCATCACGGCGGCCGAAGAACCTTGGCTCCACGAAGGGGTCACCGTCGAAGGCAACGCCGAAGAAGCTACAGCACGCGAAACAACAAACGAACTCCTAGCATTCGTGGAAGATACCGAAAATAAATCATCTCCATGCACCGCCGGCGTGTGCGCGAACGCACGCTTGTCCAACACATCCCACATATCATCCAGACACGAAGCATGTCGCCCAAAAGGGGCTTCCATGGAGAGCTGCTCATCCTTGTACACCTGCCCAGACACTACCGGAAACTGCTTCAACATGGAGTCTCGAACAGCTATCTGCACTTGCGCATCCGAAGGGTTGTTGCGTGGTGGGAACCCATGACGGTCATGGCCAGGGCCTTATAGCGACGGATGTATTCTCCGTAAGTCTCGCCGTTGGATACGCCAAAACTGCGAAGACGATCAATCCCCGAGCTCTTGTCTTGAGTGTCCCAGGC